CCAGCCAGGGGCTGTGACAGTGCAGTTTGGAGGGGGCATCGGCTTCAGAGCACCAGGAAGCAGGACAAAAGGCAGGCAAGGATGAGAGAGAGAGAGTGAGAGAGAGCGAGCATATGACTGAGGGGGAGGGAGGTGGCAGTCCAGTCCAGTGCTGAGGGAGTGGCCCCGGGGACCTGGCAGGTACGCGAACCTGCTTCTACTTATCTGTGACTGAGAGAGCTACATCCTAGCCACCACCAAGCTGGCCCCCGATTTGCAGGACCCCCGCCGCACCATGCACAGGACAGCATGCTGTTGGGTCCAGCACCCTCCCCAGGATGGGCCGGGGCTGAGGCCGTGGGGATTCATAGCATTTTCACTGGCTGAATTGGGGGAGTAGATAGCCAGACCTGTCCTCCTGGTCTGTCTGGAAGCTCTGCTGACCGCGGTCCAGCATCAGAGCAACATTCAAGCCCCCACTGACAGATGGCGGACGTGTGCATGCGTGCGTGTGTGCGTGCGTGCGTGCGTGCGTGCGTGCGTGTCAGAGCAATATTCAAGCCCCACTGACAGATGGGGAGCTGGTGTGTGTGTGTGTGTGTGTGTGTGTGTGTGTGACTATGAATAAGGTGCTTTGGGTGGGATTTGAACCCCGGTCTCTCACAGGGAAGGTGAGAATTCCACCACTGAACCACGGTGGTCTCCATCCACTCCTTAGGGGCCTTTCACAGCCTGGCCCTTCCTCAACCCATGTGTCAGCTCACAGAGGGCTGGCGGGGGTTCCTGGAGTAGCAGCCTCATGGGAGAGGGAGCCCCTGGGTGACATGGGGCATGTCAAGAGCACGTGTGGAGACGTGTGTCCGGGAGCTCACAGAGATCGGCCGTAAATACCCACTCTTCAAATCCTGAGCTATTTGGAAACAAGAGGGTGACAGGAGTTTGAATCCCCAAAGCTGAAAGACTTTTCCAAAAATATTCATAAGCATGAAAATAACTTGAATTCGGGTCTGTGAAGATACTTCCAAAGGCTTGATTTCCATTCCAGCGGCTTGGTGGGCGCAGGGAGGCATAGCCCCTCACCCCAGCTCCGGGACTCTCAGAGTGTGCGGCTTCCCCGTCCCCATGGGCCATGGGGTTCTTCCGCACCCCTCCTCCCAGTGCCCAGGGGGGCTTGGCACACAGTCACATGGAACTTTCCAGAAGCACAAAGAGGAGCAGCCTGGTGGCTCACCCGAGTCCTCATGACCTTGCCTACATGCTGGTTGAACACTCCACGTGTGTGCACACGGACCTGCACCTGCACACACGGCCCGCCCCACAGGGAGATGGAGAAGGTAGTGTTAGCAACAAGGCCCCCCCCACCGGTGTCTTCATACTCACACAGGACGAATTCACTCCCCCCCTGCCCTGCCAACGGTGGATCAGATTCACTTTCCTTCACGTACAGAAGGGCAGGTGTGTGCGTGCACCCCGCGTGGGCTGTGTATGTGTGCCCGGGGCTCCGGGGAGATGGGGCTGAGAGAGCACCTGTAGGGAAGCAGCGGGCCAGTGGCCAGCCAGGCTGCTTGCCCTCACAGGCCGGAAGCCCCTCTGAGAACCCCCTGCCCCTTCCTGGCTTCAAGGAGACCCCAACTTCACGACGATCATGAAGACCACTGCCCATCGGTGCTGGCGTTAGTGCTGCGCTCCTTCGCCGGTGACCTTTAGAGCTGGCTTCGGCGGTTCACCAAGCCGGCCCATTATGTAATCGTCACAAGGCCGCAACTACTCCCACGTCCACAGCTGCCCTCCCCCGTCTGCTCCTCTCCCCACTTGGGCCTGTCCGCCTCTGCCTTGTGATAACTGGGGCAGGCAGTTCTGGGAGGGCGCGGTCCTGTGTGCTGCAGCGTGTCCGGCGCATCCCTGGCCTTGACCCCATTAGACGCCAACAGTAGTGACAATGCCAAATGTCTCTATGCTGTGTCAAGAATCTCCCGCAGTGTCCGGGGGCAGGGGTGGTAGTGGAGCAGAATCCCCCCTCCCATCCCGGACCCACTGCCTCCAGCTACCATCACCCCTTCTAGCTCCATCCGAGGTTTGAGGTGCAACCGCTTTGATCGTTAAGCCCACACCGACTTGATGGTGGTGAGTTTTGGAAAAGTGAGCAGTTCGAACCTACCAGCTCCTCTTCGGGGGAAAGACGAGGCTGTCTGCTCGCGGGAAGATTTAGCCTTGGAGGCCTGAGGGAGCAGTTCTATTCTTTTTTATATATATGCCAACCATTTTATCGGGAGCTAATCCAGACAGCATACCATTCTACAGTTCAATTGCATCAAGCAGTAGTGTACAATTGCTACTAAAATGAGTTTCAAAACCTTTTCTTCCTTTTTGAGCATCTTGATATTAGCCCCCCCTCTTTTTTTTTAAATCATTTTATTGGAGGCTCGTACAATTCTTATCACGATCCATACGTCCATCCATGTGTCAGGCACATCTGTACACTCGTTGCCATCATCATTCTCAAAACCTTTGCTTTCTGCTTGAACCCTTGGCGTCAGCTTCTATTCCGTCTTAAGGGTCGGTAGGAGGCGGAATGGATGGACAAGAAACTGCCCGCCACCAAGTCAACTCTTACTCCTCGCGGCCCTACAGGACAGAGCAAAACTGCCCCGTGGGTTTCTGAGCTGTCATTCTATGGGAACAGAAAGCCTCATCTTTCTCCCAAGGGGCAACTGGTGGTTTCAAACCACTGACCCTGTGGTTAGCAGCCCAACGTGCAACCAACTAGCCCCCAGGACTTGATAGTAGGGTTAAATGTGTATATGAGGAGATACACAGTCTAAGATATAAGGAGCCTTGGTGGTCTGTTGGGTAAACATTGGACCGATAGCTGCAAGGCCAGTGGTTCAAGCCCACTGGCTGGTCCTCACGAGAAAAATGACCACCTTGGTTCCACTTTATATGATTGTGGAATTGAAAAGGACACGAGGAGCCAGACCTGTCGCTTTGCTCCCACTTTACGGACCGGGAAATGAAGGTGCAGGCAGCTGCTCAGGGCCACACAGCTGGACGTGGCTCTGCGGGACATGGGGATGCACTCTTCCTGGGCACTTTCCACCCAGAGTGGCCCCAGCCTGACCTGACAGTGGGGAAGCTGGGGCACAATGACGTCGGACTTGAGTTCCATTGTAAGCCCTCTCACCCAGCATTTCTGGGTGTTCCCCGGGGGCATCAGGCAACTCAAAGTGCCCATGAGGGAGCCCAGGCCTTTCCCTCCCCACTGGGGTTCCCGCCAGTGTGTCCCCAAACACTTGGGCTCTGGGGTCTGTGGCTGGAAGTGGTTACCAGCAGACAAGCCCACACTGTGATCTGGGGCATTGCTGGGAAAGCACAGATGGACCCCATTCGGCAGGCCAGGGCTTCTGGTCAGCCCCTCTCCCTCTGCAGGTTCCGTGTCCACTCTGACCTCCTGCCCTGACCGGCTTCCACTCCTCTCTGCCCAGAAGTGTCATAGAGCTCTCACTCCTGCCGGACCTAGTTCTTCCATCTGTACACTCTGGCTGCTAACACACAAGTTTGGGTCCCCAGGGGTGGTGGGGGGACCCCAGAGCCTGGCCGTCCCTGCAGGTAGAGCGGAAGTGCTGGCTCCAAGGTGTGGTCCTTCCACCCACCTGGCTCCCAGCCCTGCACACTCAGCACCGAGGTCTCCGCTGGTGCCAAATCGGGCTGACCACCGTGGCGACCTGTCACTGGCCACCCTGGCTCCCAGGAGCAGGTGGGGAAAGCTGACACCTGGGCCCAGCGGCCCTGCAGTGGTGCTGAATGGAACAGGTGCGGGTCTAGAGCAGACTCCAGGCTCAGCTCAGCCCCCCTCTGCCCACACGCCGTTTACTCCCCGAGGCTCTGTCCCCAGTCTGACCCCACACACTGCCACCATGCTAGGCTCAGCCTCAGCTCCCCCAGGCTCTGCCCCAGCCCACCCTCAAGTGGAGCCCCCAGAGTGGCAGCGTTGGTTTGCCCTGGCAGGGGCTCCATTCAGGTGGGGTGGTTCTTTCTTTCTCCTCAGAGTGCTGGGGGTGTAGGGGTAGATCCAGGAGCCACTGCACCCCCAGGCCCTGCGTGTCCAGGGATAGACGGACCCGGTGGCAAGGCGCTGCTCAGGCTGGGTCTCTTGTTTTAACACCATGGAAGGCACTGGACTGCTTCCGGCTCGGCCCTGAACCCCTGCCAGGGGAAACCCAGTCCTGGCAGCCGACTTAGGGGCCTGTTTTGTTCCCAAGTGTGATTCACGCAGGCTGAGACCCACCCTGGAGGCCACCAAGCGGCTGGGTCAGCGACAAAACCCGCTGCCAGAGGCCTGTAGGCCCTAAGGGGTGATGTGCAGGGCACCCAGGTGGTAGGCATGGAGGAAACAGCTGGATAGCTGGGTGTCTCTGGGCTCTTGGAGGGCTGCTGGGGCGCCGGCACTCACTGCACATCCCTCACTAACCAGCATGGAGGAAAGACCCTGCCTGTCGGCCACAATCCACAGACCAGGCCGTGCTGGTGTAGGCAAGGGGCGGCAGCCAGCGTGGGGGGGCGGGTCTTGATGCCTTCCTCTTGCTCTGCCTCCCTTCTTGGGTGCGCCCTCCTTCCCGGGGTCTGGGCCTTTATCTGCCCCCCTCTCCAGGCAGGCATCTCCCACTGGTCCTCCCCCCAGCACCCTGCCCCAGGCCAGAATCAGGCTCTGACTTGTTCCTCTTTATCTCTGGAAACTAAAATAAACGCACATCAGGAGACTGCCAGGGCTGGAGGCCAGGTCGCCCCACCCACCAGGCTGCATGGGGGCTTATTTTAGCAGGTGATGCTCCATGGGGGGGGCCTGTCCTCCCAGGGCTCAGAGCCGACCCTTGGCCGGGCTGGCTCCCCTCCTCTCCTTTTCCTGGAAGAGGAGTCATGGCCACAGGGAGAACCTTGAGTTCCCCCCCGCTCTGTCTGGGGTCCCCGCTGGTGTGAGGCTCCTTGTCCCCCCACCCCAACACCCGCCCTTTTATTCCCCGAGATTGAGATGAAAATAAACATGGGGGGGGGGGAGCAGGTTGGAGGGGAGGAGGGGTGAGAGCCCTCCCCGGTGGGGACCTGAAGGGTAAGTGTGCCTGGTAGTGTTGCGGTTACACATTGGGCTGCCAGTGGGGAGGTCAGCAGTTCAAAACCACCTGCCGCTCCTTGGGAGAAAGATGAGGCTTTGGGTGTTCATTTGTGTTGGGTGACACACACATGGGGGGGGGGTGTTTGAACTGCAGGAAACAGGGCAGAAACACAGGACGACACAGGATTGAGCACCTGACAAGAGAAGTGCTAGGGAGGAAAATAAAGCCCAGGTCCGGGGCGCTAGAGACCCGCCCCCACCCCGTCAGCTTCCCAGACTGCGGGGACAGGCGTGTTGCTCTGAGCTGGAAGCCACATCGCCTGTTTCTCAAAGGCCATGGGGTCCACCAGCGTGAGCAGCTTTCAGCGGAGCTTCCAGAGGAGGACAGACTAGGAAGGGAAGGCTGGCAGCCCGCTCATGAGAAGTCGCCAGTGCAAACCTCAGGGGTGCATCACAACGTCTGGGGTCCTTGCTTTGCACACACCATGGAGAGGGATCCGTCTCCAGAGGAGGTCATCTTGTTTGCTGGAGAACCGGGCCAAAGGGGGCACAGGAGACCCTCTGTGAGAGGGGTGGCCCCGTGGGCACAGGGGACTGTGGAGAGTAAGGTCCCCTCGCTCTGTCCATCTGCCTATGGGGCTCCCAAGTGGGGTGGGGGTGGGGAGTGGTTAAGTTTAGGCTCAGGAAGGCGGCAGCAGCCTTGCCTGCAGGTGGGGTCAGCCCGTGGGGGCCACTTCCTCCTCTCCCCTCCCCGAGAGGTTGGTCAACAGTCTGAGTCCTGTGCCTGCATTTATCCACTTTGGGCTCCTTGCTGGCCCGCAGAGACCCCGTGGAGGCAGGGATGGCTGCCATTTTGAAGAGCCGAGTCTACCTGACAGCCATGGTGTCAGGCTCCCTACCCCCCACCCCCACCCTAGTACCCCACCCCTGGGAGCGAGACTCACCCACATCTTAGGAGTCCAGTGGCCGCTGGCCAAGGTCCCAGTCACTGACATCCAGGACTTGGTGTCAAGCTGTCATGAGAATCGTGCCAGCAGACTGCTCTAAGGGAGGGCTCCTTTGGACCCACGCTGGAGCCTGCTGCCCGACCGAAAGCCCATCCCTACCAGCCGCTTCTGAACATGCCTTGCCCTGGCATCATCATGCATTCAGAAAAGTCCCGTCGCTAGGGCGCACCACCATCAGGTTGACGCGGCTCACAGAGACCCTATAGGACAGGGTAGCACTGCCCCTGGGTGTTTACAAGACCGAAACTCTTCACGGGAGTATAAAGCCCTGGCTGCCTTTCTTGGGGAAATGGGGCGGTTTTGAACTGCTGGTCTTGCAATTAGCAGCCCAACAGGTAACCACGATGCAG